ATCAGACAAATGTATAATCTGAAATGGCTTTCACCGATCTTTCTGTGTAGAACCTCAGCTGAACAGAGAAGCTCAGATGAAGACCTGCATTTCTCATTATGTGATTAAAACCAACCCAACCCTGACTAGACTTGGACAGGTGTACATAGCCACTATAACTAGATATTTTGTAAAGAACAAAGGCACCAAGCAGAGTCTGAATGACAATACCTTTTGAGAGATGTGTTTGGGTCCCACTGTGAGCCTCAGGTGCATCCCCAGGGGCTTGCTGAGTGGTTATGGAGAAGTGTGCTTTCTGCACGCTGAGAGCCTGAGGAGCTGGAATGATGGAGGCAAACATTACTACCTGAACCTGGGGCAGCCTGTCTGTTCCCCCCATGTCCAGGACAAGATAAATACCCCATTTCTTTTTTGGAATAAGAAAGTATTGAGAGAAGAAGCCTCCTCCCATGAACTCTTGCAGAATCTGCTAGATGAAGCAACCTTTTGCAACAGTGGGATCCTTGAAGAGGGATGAGCCAGGACATGGGTAAGAGCCTGGTACTAATGTGGGTATTGTGATCACAGATTATGACATCTACCATTTATCTCCTGCCTGTGAGTTCTCCTGATGCCTGACTAAAAATGATGCTTGAAAGACAGATGATATTTGTCTTTCTAAAGATTGGTTCTTGGACTGGTCTAGTGCCATTCCGCACTTCTGTGAATCTCGCCTTTAAGGAAGAGCAAACCGTAGATAAAGGATGACACAACAATAATTTTGCAGAATCATTTATTCCAATAAACACCATTTCCCTGGTTTTTATTGGAATAAATTTTGTTTGTTCCAACTTCTTAGCCTTTGCTGGGGATGGTATTTGTAAAATATAAGTGCTATAAAATTCTTAATCTTGAGTTATCTCAGTGTAGCCTTTCAATTGCTGAGGGAATGGCTTATTTATCTGAGTGTAGAAAAGTTCTGTGCTTTTAAATGGCAAATCACCTAAAATCAAAATATAAGCTGCTTGCAATCAACTGGTATGTTGTTCTGTAATAACTGCGACCAAGGATCGTCCTCGGTGGCTGAAGCAGCATAAAATAACGTTCTTGTTATCTTCCAGTCTTATTTGATGATCTCACTTTGCTCCCTTTCACAGCTGTGTGGGACCTGAGTTAGCAAATGATTCTTACAAAGAACTTTTTAAGCAAGTGTTGGTAGCTGACAATTTCCGGGTGCATAGAAATAGATGACATGCTATACGTCTAAACAGGTCTGATTTCTTCAAGTCTCATCTTTGGTCTACCTGATCTTGTCTTGGATGAAAGACAACAACAGAGACCTTGCTCCTTTATAAATCTTCCAAGCCAAAGGGTGCTGCTGATTCTAAAGCCCTGTTACTGATTCAGGTATGTCCGCATTAGTCAAAATACAACCAAAAAGCTATTTGTTTCCCTTGATCACTGCAGTTTCTATATCCAGTATTTCTGGGATTCTTGTGATCAAACCCAAACCTATGCACGTCCTTGCCCACATCAGAGAAGAGAAAGATTTCTTTAGCTGAATGCCTTTGGGACAGTGTCTCCATGTAAGAAGTATGCAGATCCCTGCAACTCTTGCAGCAGAAGAATATGGGACTGTAACACCAAAGTGGACTCAGATTAGACTACTGGTGCAATTCTGGCCATCCCACATCAAAAAGAAATGAAGAAAGAAGAGTACTGATAAAGACAACTAGCATGATCTGATTTACAGATTACCTTCTGTGCAAAGAAAAACTAAGTAGACAAGGATTCTTAGACTAGAAGCAGGTGGGATATAAACAACCTTCATCAGCATGAAGAAGGTGAACAGATGAATGTTACGATAAAAAAGTTTTCTCCTCATAGGAGGTTATAATTGAATTGTAAAACTCCCTTGTGGATGCTGGATTTACAAAGCACTGGTCTCCCTGTATACTGTAAATCAGGAAGAAAGCTGATGAGTGCTGCAAGATGGGAGCAAACACAAAAACCAAGAGCAAAATTTGACTTACTGGCTTGATTTACTGCTTGTAATCTTGCCTAAGCATCTGCTACTTGCCATCATGGGTGACAGGATACAATATCAGCACAAAATTATTCTACCTTAAATCCCTGATAATATTATGGTCTTGTCATAATCTAATTAGTATTGACCTTCAATGTTACTTTACTACTAATACCTACTTATTGTAAGCTGTTGCTTTTCTTTCTCTTCATTATACCGTACAAAAATGCTGTTCTCCTTTTCCTTATGTCAACAGTGCACTGCAAGGTCTACATGGTGAAGAAAACAAGCAGAAGGGTCAGGCATTTTCTTAGCATTTTCTATGGCATCACCCTTCTCAAATTAAGGGAATAGGTAGGCTAGGCCTTGCCTACAGAAGAACAGAAGCACAGCTGGTAGATGATGATGTGAAAGATGTATCTTGAATGAGTTTCTTGCATTGACATTCCTACAGAATATTCAGTGCTAAATTCATACTTTGCATGAGCCTGTCTGCTGGCATTTTGTAAAGCAAGAAACACAGAGATACTTGCTGTGGATAACCTTGAAGCAAGCTTCACTGTCCCTGTCTTCCAGATCAGATATGATTTTTACAGACAACACAGTAGACACAATCTAAGAAAGAAATCTCTGAATGAGAAGAAGCAGAGGAACTAATGATTTCTGGGACTATGTTATTGCAGGAGACAAAGAAGTGCCTATCACACTCAATGACCAGCATAGAAACTTGTCACATACTGGAAAAAAGTGCAATGCTGGTGAGCCAGAACACAACAGAACAGTACCAGGAAGCTCTTCCTGCCAGGCAGGCAAGATATTCTTGCTGACTGTGAAATTAAGAGGTTTTTTAAATGTATGAACCAGTTTGGATTGAAAAAATGGGAAAAGGTGGTTAAACAAAGTAGAAACCAAGGAATTAGGTGATCACTATTCACATTAACTCTTGCTCTCAAGTCCGGACTGCCTGAGGATTGTACCATTCTACCCTGTAAGAACTTTAACGCAAGAGGATGAAGAGGCTGCTGGAGAACCTGGCAAACATTGGTACTCTGGGAACGTTTCAAGCTTCCATGCACAGGGGACATGCATGCCTAAAGCAGGATTTCCTCTGATAGAGATCTGAAGACAACTGTTGTCTGCACTACAGCAAACAAATGTGGGCCCCAAACACAGGCTAAAAGACCTTGCCCACTAGGTTGCCTGCAACCAAAGAAATGAGAAGATGTTATGGGTCATGTTTCTTAAGGACTGCTTACATGAATACTCTGTAAAGCACTGGCTTTAGGAATCATCTGCTCTCTAAGTGGCTCTGCTTCTAACTCAGTAAAAGACATATTTCACAGAATCATGGAACAGCCTAGGTTGGACAGGACCTCACAAGATCATCTGGTCCAACCTTCTGTAGAAAAGGGAGACTTAGATAAGATTATAGGATCATAGAATAGTTAGGGTTGGAAAGGACCTTTAGATCATCAAGTTCCAACCCCCCTGCCATGGGCAGGGACACCTTGCTCTAAACCATATCCCCCAAGGCCTCGTCCAATCTGGCCTTGAACACTGGAGCATTCACAACCTCCCTGGGCAACCCATTCCAGTGCCTCACCACCCTAACAGGAAAGAATTTCCTCCTTATATCCAATCTAAACTTCCCCTGTTTAAGTTTTAACCCATTACCCCTTGTCCTATCACTACAGTCCCTAATGAAGAGTCCATCCCCAGCACCCCTATAGGCCCCCTTCAGATACTGGAAGGCTGCTATGAGGTCTCCACACAACCTTTTCTTCTTCAGGCTGAACAGCCCTAACTTTCTCAGCCTGTTTTCATACAGGAGGTGCTCCAGTCCCCTGATCATCCTCGTGGCCCTCCTCTGGACTTGTTCCAACAGATCCATGTCCTTTTTATGTTGAGGACACCAGAACTGCACACAATACTCCAAGTGAGGTCTCACGAGAGCAGAATAAGTATTTAACTCCTTGTCCAAGTTAATCTTCAAAGCCTGCACTGATGGGGACTCTACCACATCCCGTATTTAAAGTCATACAGTGTATTGCACGTTGCGTGGTGTTTTTAGACACTACATGGAACTATTTACAGATTTGGAAATAATTTTAACCTAGCCAGTTCAAACCTGCATACATAATTGACTTATTTTGACAAGGAAAGTAGAAAGAGAGTATACAGGTCTTTGCTTAGTTCTGTTTGAAGGACTGCTGCTGAAAATGAAGGACCTGGCTTCACTCCTGAGTGCCACCTTGTCACTAAAACAGTGACAGTTGAGCTTCTCATTCCCTGCAGGGAATATTCAATTCATTCATTCATTCATTCATTCATTCATTCATTCATTCATTCATTCATTCATTCACAGCTTTGGACAAGTGAAGTCTCCAGCAAACCACCTTGCTATTTCCCAAACATGTCTTAAGAAAGAAAAGTGCAAATACACAATGCAGCTAGTTTTTTTCATGTTTACATGTGTACATTCATACAATAACTTACGTATGTACAGCTAAGTAAATGTAACCCAAATTAAACTCAAACCTAAATGCCTCCTGTAGACATAGGCAACTCAAGAGAATTTTGGCAGTTTAGCTGTGTTTGGGGGGAGAACACCACAGCATTCTTGTTATGTGAGGTATCTCCAGCAGAACAGAATAACCCTTTGTAAGCAGAGGACCTACGATACAAGACCAGCCTTTCTCATAGCAGCTTTGGAAGTAACACTCTATGAAAACAAAGATCTTTTTAGCTCTCTTTACATGTTTCTTCAGTCGCAGTCTTGTAGTAACATCTATTCCAATAAAAGAAAATCACTCTTCAGAGAGAACAACATGAAGCACTGCAAACAATTCCTTCTGTTATGAATGCTGCATACACATTTTGAAGTAGAAGTGTTATTTGAAATATGTTAGCAGACTCCCAGGGATACAAAATCCACAGTCTGTATTGGTTTTGCTTCTCACAGAAATGAACAACCAATGTTGTGAGGCATGCATACCTTTTTGTTGGTGTAGGTGCTCCAGAGGACATGTGGGTCACCATGGTGTCATTCATGTTAGTCAGAGGCCGAGGAGGACTACAACAGAAATATTTATTCCAGTTAGTCATTTGAAAACCCCAAAAAGGAAACAAAACCAGCACTAGGGAAAAATAACTCACTGTGCTCTGTGACAACATCAGGCCAAAGAGCAGTGGCAGAAACAGCTTTGCACAAAGACACTTGAAAAGCTTGGTTTAGCCTAGTATAACTGCTTTTCACAATTCATGTGTTACTCTAAAATGAAGATAAAACTAACCTTTGTGATTACATAATTGACTTTTGGCACTTTCTAGTAGTTCAAGCAAATGTGGGAACCATTCAAATTAGGGCAATTATTTGAAATGTTTAAAGAAAGTAAGAAAAGATTTGTTATAACCAGCAATCATTTATACAACAACCACATACATCACCTGTTTGGCTTTGATTTTATTTAAAGTTAGTTGGAAAGAACCAAATGGGTAGAGCCTCATGTTCCTTGCTGCCCTATGAAATACAGCATTGGACTGATGCTCCCATTATTGGTGTTTTTAAACCCTTAAAGTTTCCTGGTACCACACTGCTGTGGCCACCCAGGCCATGAGTGCTTGTGACTGCAGTGAGCAGGAGGACCCAAGAGCCCAGGTAGGATATTCCCAGGCAGCTCAGCCTGGTGAATTCAAGGTGCTGGGAGAGAAGAACTAAAGCAGCTGCTATCAGAGAAACAATATTTGCCTATGCTTACCCTCCAGTGATACCTAAATACATCCATCATTCTTTAAAATGAGACAAAAAAGTATAGGGTTGCCTGTGTACAGATAAAAGCTCAATTTGTACATTAGACAATACAGTACCTGTGCAGAACATAATGGAGAAAAATGCCATGCTTCCCTACATGCTTTCTTGGATCGTAGATTAAAATCTTCGTAGGTTTACATTTACCATCATCTTAGCATTCACGAACCTGGCCTAAATCTTTTAGTTAGATTTACTAATCTAAGTGATTTTTTAATCTAAACTTTTAAATGTAAATTTTATATCTCTCAGTTCATTTTATTGCAGGTAACACTGAAATGAATTCCTGCCAGCTCCAGTTTTCTACAGCACAGCCAGGCAGTGCTTGACCCGACAGCATTCGCAGCTTTCACCTTCCCTGACATTCCCAGTGTAGCTGCATGGAGCCTGCTCCTGTTCTGGATGCGTGAACACCAGGAATTGCCTTAAGACTCATCAGCTGATTTCACTCCACAACTTCCAGAGCCCAGGAATCCAGTGAATCAAACAACTGTTAAAGAAAATCACCTGGCTGTCAAGCATATAAAATCACAAAGAACATAATCCCTGTATGTCTTCCTGCATCCCTTCCCCATGGAGGATGTGAATTCCAAAGCACTTCAGCGCTCAGCCCTCACTCAGAACAAATTTGCCCAGAGATGATGATGCTGCATGTTTAATGTTAATGTTGTTCTAAATATAACATCATAACAAGAAATTATTTGGCCATCAGATACGTACTGAATGTGCTCCTTTGGAAAAGGAACTTGTCACTATAGAAAAAAGCAGACATAGGGTTACAAAAGTAGAGAAAGACGACAGATGTGCCATACCGTGGCTCATTTGGAATCCATTCCTTTTGCTAGTGAACATATCAATTCATTCTGTGGTAACAAGCAGTTAATTAACAGTCCTTTCCCTCTGCCCCTTTATCTCCCTACTTACTTCTTCTTGACTGAATGCAAGGAATGCTCTGCCCACATCTACACTGCAAACCTCTCCTTTTTCCCCAAAGATTCATTACCAGCTTGCATCCTCCTGCCCTGCTCACCACAAAACAATCTGGCAGCTGTGAGAGAGGCAGCTACAATGAAACGCTGCTTTTGCAAACTGGTATTTGTCAGCAGCAGCAGCTCTCGCTTCCCCAGTTCTGAATGCATTAGCTGGGCTTTTTCCTTTGGGAGGACAGTTTCCTTAAACACTGTGCTCTTAGATAAAACAAATACCACATTGTATTCCCAATAATTTTAGGGTAAGAGAATTTAAATTGTGGTGATGGAGGGGATAATGGAAGATCCTGCCAGAGTGGGTCCGGCAGTGTGCTGCAGCCTTCACTGACTGTGTGGGGATGCGGAGCATATGAAGAACAACACACAGGCACCCACCTTCTGCGAGCCTCAAGCGCAGTGTGAGCTTTCACAGGATTCATTCTACTTTAAGTAACAAATTGTACACGGGGGCACACTTTCCATTGTCCCACAGGTGGGTCTACCATTTTGAGGGAAGGGTAATTCTTTATTTTATTACAATATTACTTTTATACGACTCTTTCAATGAGAAAGTGGATGTAATTCACTGTTTGCAATCTGGTTTTAGTATCAGTATGAGGCATTTCCACAAGTTCCTTCCAGTTCTGTAAATACCGGTGCTCTTAATTTTCCAGCTAAACCCTTGCTAACTGTGATAAAGGCAAAGAAAAAAAATAATTAAAGACGAACATCTGCTCAAAAGATTTCTAATAGCATAATTCTGTCTTCTTTATTACACACAATAAAGCCTTTCCCAGTTCAGAGGATTTCTTGAAGCCATTTATACTTTTTCAGGGAATATCTGTTTAAAAAACTGTAACTCTGTCAAGACAGCACGTTATTTCCTTGTATAACCACGCCAGAAGAATACTGCTCATGAAACCAGGTGGATGCCTTAACCACCTACGCAACACTGCTGGAGTTATCAGAGCTGCTTTGATGAACCTGGGACTTTCAGTGTTGGTCAAACTTATTTTACTAGGACTTCTAGTTTAAAAGGAACACAACTGAATTCCCCTTCTGAGATGCTCATGACAGTTGGCATCTGCTGCAGCCTATCAACATAAGAGAAAAAAAGACAAATATTCTTGAATCAGCTACTAAGGAGAGACTTTTTTGCCTCAATAATCTCACCAGAAAACATCAGCCTGGACACCTGAGGTGGGAGAAATCCCCAAATCATTGCTGGCAGAGAAACTCAGAGGATGAACTCAGAAGCAGTAACTTCTGCCCACAGTGTAGCTGAGATATTAAAACAACTGAGGGACTTGGATACGTATCAGGAGCAGCTTACAACTTTCTTTCAAAACTTTGTCTGTTTGTTAGGTTAAGTTTTTCAGATTTAACTTATGTGGCATTTAAGGTGTATTTAATGAGCCTAGGGTTGCTCTTGGGAAGAAAAACACCTAAGAATAAGCAGCAAAGTAAGAGAATCGTTCCGATACCTGGGAGCTGGGACAAATGTGGCAGCCATAGAAGCTGAGAAATCATAGAAACATAGAATCAGACAATGGCTTGGATTGGAAAGGATCTCAAAGATCAGACCATCCAGTCCCAAACCCCTGCCACAGGCAGGGACACCTTTCACTAGACCAGGTTGCTCAAAGCCCTGTCCAACCTGGCCTTGAACACTGCCAAGGGATGGGGCAGCCACACCTAGGAGGAAAATTAACTCTGTCCCAGCTGAAACCAGGACAGGGTACTTCTCTTATCACAGTCTCCTTGGTTTTAGTTTATTCAGATTCTAATCAGGGACTGCATACCTCAAAGTACTGAAGCATCCTACAGCAGTGGCAGATGCTATCAGAGCACAAATAAATAGTAGAGATTTGTGTAGGTCTTGAAAACAGGGATCGTGAGAGTCCTCTGCAGTCAGCACAAAATTGGGAAGGAATGAATAAGGACTTGACAGAACAATGCAGGTTTGCCATCACTTAGGGGCCACTTTAAACAATTTACCCATGTAAGTTTTTTTTATACAAATGTCAAAGTTAATTCTGAAGCTAAAGTACTTGAAATTGTCTTTATAGAAGGTATCACAAGTCTGAGCTTTCCAGCTCTAGTACTTGTTTATCTTGCTTTATTTCTTCCAAACATATTTCTGTATGGACATTACCTCTGTCTCTACCAACTCCCTCTCTAAGCATCCAGTTTTGCCTACTACTGGAAACAAGATACTGGACTAAACAGCTTTGTGGGCTAATGCAGGGTGGATGATAATCTGTTCCAAGATTTCCCCATCATTTTCTTAATTATGTCAGCCAGCTTTTATGAGAAATTACAATAATTCTAATAAAATCTTGACTTTTCTTTATTGCTATTGTTTACTCCTATTAACTGCTATCGCCTACCTGTAGCAAAATCTATGAGATCCAGATGTAACTGAAGTTGCTGTCACATCTATTCTCAGTAATCTTGGCTAAATATGAAAGTAATCTTGGCTAAAAATAAGAAATAAGAAATAGGTTAGTCACTGCTATTTTGTGTCAACAGTTTTCTGAGTAGGAAAATCAATCATTACACATTCTGAAGAAAAGCACAATTAAACCTAAGTCTAATTATTGGCTTGTCTTCTGTCAGACTTGGTTGACAAAGGTCCAGAACAAAACCAGGATAATTCTGAGACCTCAAGAGTCTAAAACCTCAATAAATAAAAGGAACTAAACCTTGAGAGTTTTTGCTGTGCTGGACAATGACCCTGGAAAGGGACTTTTACAAAAAGGCACCAGTAAACAACATTTTACCAACTGCCTTCTGCTCTAAACAGTTCTCCTATCTCAGATTGCTGACGTGTGGCAAAGCAGCATCGTTTATTTGCTTCCACCAGAGTACAGGCTTGGAAAATGCAAAGCTCAGGAAATGCATCTGTACTTGAGGGTTGGGGGCTGTCAGCAGCCAAGAAAAAATAAAAAGAACAGAAAAAATGAAAAGAAAGAAAAAAAGAACGAAAAAAAGAATGCAGGAATGCTGCTCTGTCAATCAGATCTGGAATTGATGAGGCTGAAGCTGAAGACTTGCCCTCAAAATTCCAACATTTGAAAAACGCCACTGGCCCTCAGGAAGGACAATTATGCTCTTATCTCGAGCCAGCTGAAGATTTCAAGCAGTGGAAGTTTAGTGTATCTGTGTCAGAAGTGTAGCATAACATTTTCTACCACTAGTCAATGTCTCGTGTGTAAGAACCAGCGTGGATATCCCATATGACAAGACAAGACAGTATTTCTCAGGTGCACTGATTAGCACTGTAATAAATGTCAG